CTAGAAAAGAAATTGACACTGATAGACTATACTAGTCAGATATAGACTACCATAACTACCAAAAAGTCAGACATAGACTACAAAGTTTACTGATAGACTACAAAGTTTACTGATACACTACAAATAACTACAAATGTCAGACATAGACTACAATGTTTACTGATACACAAAAGACTACAAAAGTCAGACTTAGACTACAAAAGACCACAAAAGTCGGACTTAGATTACACAGTTTACTGATAGACTACAAATTTTACTGATAGACTACAAAAGACCACAAAAGTCGGACTTAGACTACACAGTTTACTGATAGACTACAAAGTATACTGATAAACTACAAAAGACTACAAAAGTCGGACTTAGACTACAAGGTTTACTGATAGACTACAAAAGACCACAAAAGGCAAAAACTTGTACTTAGACTACAAAGTTAGTAGTGTCTGCTTTTTGAGACTACAAAAGTTTGTAGTGTGCGCTTTTTCATTAGAAAAGTTTGTAGTGCACTTCGGTCACCCATTTTAGGGTACCCCTGAGGTATATGAATTCTTTGATTTAAGGGTACCTCAAGGGTACCCATTCCAGGGTGGTATGTGAGCACCATACCAATACCATGGTACCATGGAATGGAAAACCCATACCATATCCCACTCATACCAATACCAAGTTACCATACCATACCATGTCATGTTATACCATACCAGATGGTATGATATCACTTCATACCATCATACCAAAGCTGTCACAGGGTGTCTGGGGTCCTTTTCCAAAATATATAAATTATTTCTGCAGGCTGCAATACTGGTCCATTGGGTGCCATTTTTTGTGGGGGGGTTCTCCAGGTTTATCCTGAGATTTTAGGCTACAAATGGAGGCCAAGTAGTCCAATCCATTCATTGAATATCAGTTCAAATGACCTTTATCCCAGCTTTTCCCATGCCACCAAAGCCATTTAATGATATCTATCTTTCCCAGTCCTTTCAATTGAAAAAATATTCAGCCCAAATAAAACAATATTACATCCAATGTGATGATGTGGTCTTTTACAAGCAAAGAACACAAGACATTTTGTGTACTATCAGTCCTGAACAATGCCTGATACCCCCCATGGGAAAAGCATGGACTTGAGCTAAATTATCATCCAACAGCCTGGACTGAAATATGCACTTCAACTAATCAACTACTTTAACTACCACTCCACATATAATTCATTTTAAAAGCATGCAATTTGGATTCAAAAAGTGCCATGCTGTTGCTGTCAAAGAAGTACGTGTAGACAAGTCAGAATTCACTCTGAATTGTGAAACATAAACTAAACTATTGCATGTATATCAACCACTCCAGACTTCATGCATTGAAGACTTACATACTAGAACTATGTGTTGATAGCTACTTTAACAAAGTTATCCAACAGTCATATCCTATAGGAAAGAGATCACCTCACATTTCATTCCATTTGTCATACCCCCCCATCAAACAATCACCCCACATAGCATCCTATTGGTTACCATATAGTGTTGTCATGTTTTATATCCCTCTTTTTGGATTTGGTTTATACAAAGTGCAAGCTTCACTCAGATGTTACATTCTTGGGTTCACCAGGTAGATGAGAAAGCAGATCTAAATTTTGTTAACCAAAAGATTACAAAGGTTTACTGAGGTTTGATTGAGATATTGGATCAGCTAAGAAAAACCCTGGCTCAACCGAGTCATAACTTGGCCGTCTGCTAAATGTGAACAACTCAATGAAAAATCAATACTTTCGAATTTATATGATTATACCTACCTCCTATCTATCTGAAGATTGCAAGAATGTAAAATTGCACTCTATATAAGCAAAACCAAAAACAATGAACTTAAAACATGGCAACAGTAAGTATGGTATCTACAGCACACCAAGCCCAAGGTAAAGGGCCATCCCATAGTCATACCATGGTATGGTATAACTGGTATGGTATAACTTGGCAATACCATACCAGTTATACCATACCATGGTATTGCCAAGTTATACCGTACCATGGTATTGCCAAGTTATACCGTACCATGGTATTGCCAAGTTAGACCATACCATGGTATGGCCAAGTCATACCATTATACCATACCATGGTATGGCCAAGTTATACAGTACCATGGTATGGCCAAGTTATACGGTACCATGGTATGGCCAAGTCATACCGTACCCATGGTATGGCCAAGTTATACCATACCATGGTATGGCCAAGTTATACCATACCACATTATACCATACCATGGTATTGCCAAGTTATACCATACCATGGAACTACAAGACATCATACTAACTAAAAAGTGCCTCCAGTGACCAGCCAAGGAGAGTAATCAGTATTCTAAAACTCTATCTAGATCTACTAGACAGAGCAATCCTGAGGCCCCCACTGACCCCACTGCACCCCGGAAACATCCACTAAGAAGTCTGCAGATATATTATTGCCAGTAAGTAATAGAACATCCCAAGTAGAAGTCCAATGAACACACACACCTCACACCAGTCACTCAAAACTCCTCCTCCTCTGTTGAGGACCCTTCAGAATCCACGGCCCTCACTAGGGTGTCGTCGACGTAACACGCCACCATCTGTGAATCGCTCTTCATCGCCATTCTCCGAATGCCCGCGTCCAACCCTGCGAGGGCCATGCCCAGTGAACCCTTCGTTTCCTCGGCCATAGTAGCCATTAGAGTCATACGGACGAGCATGTCCTCGAAATTGGGAGCGGAGACCACGGCCTCTTCCACCAAAGTCAGATGTTGCATACTGTTGTGGATGGTGGCCATAATGTTGGTTATTTGAGAACTGGGGCGGTGGTCGGTGATAGTGATCCTGCATGGAAAAAGAGGGTTCGAACCTCGTAGTCTGATACTCGTCCATGAAAGCGTCGTCTTCGTCATACATATTCACATCAGTGTCGAAGTTATTGTGATCACAGCCTTCGGCATCATTCCATGCCCTCAGACGAGAGCCACCAGCACGGTCTGAACCAGCCTCGTTATGAGTATTCCGCTGCTGGGACATCCCACGTGAACCATGCACTTGGTCCAGCCCGCGCTCATTGTCTGGGCCCTGGGACATGCTCTGGGGAAGCGGCCCATCTTGACTCTCCCAACCGCCATCTCTGGGTCCACCTTGGATCTCACGCACTGGCTGTGAACCCAAAACAATCCCTTGGCCTACCAACTCCTGGCGACGGACACGTTTGGCTGGAGGGGAACGAATGGGGGAGATTACAGGAGCGCGAGGGTCGTCCTGAGTTTCCCCATCCGAAGACGTAAGTTTTTCCGCCTCGACACCTGCTCCTGAAGGCTTCGGCTCCTCCCGCAATTTGCGCTTCTGCCGGCCAACTTGTGTGGAGGTCGTTGTTGTCTTCTTTTTTTTGATGACCTTCAAGGTATTATCTTCCATAATCTGGCTACGCACTCTGGCACGGAGTAGTGGAGGGCAGTCAGCGCCTCCATCGTTTTGACGAGCAGCGTTCTCCACCTCAGGCGCGCAGTTTTTGACACGGGCGAGGACCACGAGCTCCCCTGATTCAGATTCGCCCGTAACGATCGGTATGTCCAACCACTCCTCACTCCCCACCACCAAGTCCGTGTAATCTAAAGCCCAATCCTTTAGAACATGCCTTGTGAATATCACAAGTCAAACTTACCATCTGACCATAAGACAATTTGAGGGGCCAGGTTCTTCGTCTCGTCCTTGCTAATCATGTATGTGAAAATCAAATTGATTCCATTCGAACTGATGTCGGTAATCGACCATCCCTTTGCCCCAGGGATGGGTTCGTTGCAAGGCCAACGTTCAAGAACCATCTTAGCATCACGGCAGTGGGTGAAAAAGTTGGCCCACAACGCTGACGCCGACGCTATCTCAGGACCTGCACATTCCGCTGCAAACCAATCAGTACCCTATGCACATCAACAACAATGCCACATACCAATGTCAAACCTCAGTAGGTAAGGTACACATCTTCTTGAGCGATCTCTAGGTGTTTCGATGGGACGGCAAAGCCAATAAGAGGCAGGAACGGCCGTAATGGGGAGGTTTAAATCGGGGTCGGTAGAGCTTGCCACACCTTTGGAGGACTTCGCTTTTTTTTGCCAGAGATTTGGATGCCTTCCTGTGCGCTGGGGGATTGACAATCGGAGGGTCCGGCACTGCACTTGAGCCATTGGGATCTGTGACCACGTTCGAGAAATCAACCCCCAGGAGTTGCGAGAAGTCCACGGATTCGGGTACAATGAAGTTAGAATCCATTCCCCTACATAGTTGAAGGTCAATACGAGTTTTAATATGATGATACCTGTATAACTTACCGAAGGAGAGTTGTTAAAAGATGAAGCGTCTTCTTAACGTCTGCTTGACAATGCTCGATCACGCGTTGCAGCTTGTCATTGCCAGTGATAACGGTAGCGGCCTGGTTTGCCACAGGATCTCGAGGTATGATGACCCCAATCAAGTCCACGCCTGCCCTTCCCAACGCTATAGCCTACAAACAACAATATCTGAGCCAGTTGCCCCCGATGAAGCTTTGAGGGAGCAAACTCACAAGATCTTGCACTTGCTTCAGCGCCGTTTTCGTCATCTTGAATTCGTGCCCCTCCGTCTCTGACTTGCTCTGTGCCAACTCGACGAGCATATTCTGCTGGAACTCCTCCAGCTCGTCCCCTGACAACGACTCGTTGAGCTGCTTGTACATCACGGCAGCCTGGGCTGACCACGAGCCTAGATTGGCACCTAAAANCAATCAATGAAGTGTGATACCTTTGACCAAAGATAAAAGACCTACTTGATTGTGGATTGTAAGTCTGAATACGCAAGTACATCTGCCATACGTCCCACCAGGATGGCTGACGAGCAAGGGAAACATTGAAGCCCCCTTTGCATAGGACGGATTCGGGTGTACGGCCCATGTCCTTGCAGTACGCGACAATGGTGTCGGACAGCTCTTTGACTTGATCTAACTCGTGAGCTGAGTAACGGCCTCGCTTTTCTTCGCCAGCGGGATCGGCGCGTTTCTTTCCCAGTGCCTTTGCAGTAGCAACAGGGCGTGCATGGGGACTTTCGGTTGCACCACCTACGCCTGATCCGTCACTGTCTCCTGAAGGCCTCTGTGGAGGTGGCTTACTTGCCACCAAACGACGTAGAATCCGCGTAAACTCCGTGCCTGCCTCGCCCAACTCGTCATTGCCTGCTGAAGGTCTTGGTGCAGGACGTTTGCCCTTAACCAAACGACGTCGAACCTCCCCCTCCCTGGATACGTCACCTGGTGGTGAAACTTTCTTCGAAGCCTTTTTGCTCTTGCACAAGTATACATAGATGTCGCTATAGTACCATAACAATAGAAATTGACAATTGTCCCAATAAGTCATAGGGCTACCCCAATGGGCCCAATACACATGGACACTATGGATCCATACCTGGGACCAATGGATGTTTACAGCATATGGTATTAATGTGTGGCCCAATGCATATTCTGCAGATGTGGTTATTGCCATAATCAATGGTACCATAGGTACCCAAAGTATAATCTACAGAATGGCCAAATGTTGGGCCACATGCGTTCAAGAGATCACCCGAAGCATTGACATGCTGACTGCAAGTGCTCCGAAAATGCGACTGAAAAAATGTCCGGATTTGTGGTTGCCATGTTGGATGTCACTGCCCCAAATATGCGGCTGAAGAAAGGTCCGGATTTGTCACTAGTATGCAGAATACCAGTGCTCCAAAAATGCGGCCGAAAAAATGTCCGGATTTGTGATTAACTTAGTTAATGTCACTGCTCCGAAAATGCGGCCGAAAAAAACATCCGGATTTGTATTTAAGATGCTGAATGTCATTGCCCCAAAAATGCGGCCGAAAAAATGTCCAGAGTTGTAGTTGACTGGGTAAATGTCACTGCTCCAAAAATGCGGCCGAAAAAACATCCGGATTGTAT